CATAAACTGTTTAGTATTTGCCTTTCACAGGCAACCTTGTTTTCGATGCATTGCGAGCCAAAATCCGGACCAAAATCCGGTCGATTACGTGCCTTCAAAACGGGCACAGTGATTATAACCGCGCGACAGTTCAAATTTCTCAAGCTGCTGTATCAAACATCGTTCTGTTTACAAAACAACAATGTTGACAAGTTTTATATTTCCTGAATACACAAGAACTTCGTATTTCATTCAACAAAGCAGATCTGATTAGTAGGGCACAAGCACAGAATCTTAGGGTTAGTTCAATATTGAATCATGCAAACTTGAGCGTGTACAGATCCTGGGCATTGAAAACAAAAGTGAACCAGCCATCAGTTAAGAGATGAGTGAGATCAAAAATATTTGTAATTTTCAAAAATAGAACAGAAGCAAAAGACATTTTATGCAACATGACAACTTCTGCTTGAATGAAAACAAAAAAAATCTAACCAGCTAATATCACAGGTCACTTCAATAAAGAAAGAGATCATACGGCAAAATCGAACTTTCTGGTGCAGTGGTCTCCAAGAGGACAATCAGTAAAAGTCCTTCGTACGCTGCCCCCAGATGCTTGTTACCGCAGGCGGAATCGTTGGCTTGGCTATGTAGTTGAAAACATCACCATTTACCTGCAATACAATATCATGAATTTCTTTGAATCAAGATATAGAAATATACACATAAAAATAAATACTACGCAGAGAAAACATCGACATTAAAACGTGAAGATAACAAATAACAACATTACTACGAACATTTGTTTCTGGAAGCCCATTTCTCAAAGCTATCAATCCGGTGTCTGTAATACATCCAAAGACATTCAAAACACATAAGTGTCCACAAAGCCTGAAAAATAAGCGTTGTTAAAGCCATTCGTAAGATGATCGAGCCGCACGAGAACTGGACAGCCGTCCAACAAGACCTGAATGACCTGTCGGAGCAACTTACTCTGGAAATAAAGGTGGCTTCGAGTCACAAACAAGAGTGGAACTACATACGATGATCAGACCCTTTCTTCTTCTACCCCAGCAGCCTAAGATCATCACGCTCTCGCAGTTGTGGCACAAGATGGAAAGAACGAAGCAGGAGATATCACACATCGGAGTGAGATCCACCTTCACGAAACTGTTCTACAAGAATATGGCCGATAAGAGCTCCGGAAGAATCATCGAAAAGGAGATCTATGAGTGCTTACGCATAATAGATAGCCAGACGAGACAGCTGACGGCTCTGATAGAGGAAGTGAAAACATTCTTCCAACGTGCTGAAAATGATTTCAGAACCGGACCCTGCTCCGCCCACGTAGAGCATATAAACGCGTTATTCAGACAGGCCTTCGAGACTTTAACCTTGGAGGACAAGAAGAAATTCGACGAAAAAATTCTTGAGCTCCAGAGCCAGTTAAATGACCAGTCGGCAGAAATAACGCGTCTGAAAAATGAGGGAGCACGACCTAACCCAAACGAGTCTCACCCGAAACCAGAAAATGTGGAACCCACAGACGACGAATACTTCGATCAGATGAGACGAGAGGTCGCTGAAAACGATGAAGTACCACCCCTGATGGAAGAGGAGTCGGATGAAGAAAATATGGAAATTCAAGAGGAACAACTGAATGATGACGAAAATCTACTGGACTTCCCACTTGAGCAGAGAAGATCACCTGAACCTGATGAAGAAGCATTGAAGAATGGGGCTACGATGTCGTCTGCTTGAAGATGAAATGAATCGCGTTCAAGAAGCTTACCGAAATTTCCCATACCGCAAGAAGGAGCACAGATCACCAGGGATCCATCCGGGGATGATGTGCGCGTTTTGCCGAGCCAAAGGCGAACATTTCTCTGACTCTTGCCCTAACTTTATCGACGGCGACGAAAGACGACATAATTTTGAACGAAGATGCAGAATGTGTCTGGAAATGTGCAACTGGGAAGCTGAGTGTCCGCGTGCGCAAAAATCTTGCTATTATTGTGAACGCGTTCGAGGAACACCGTTTGACTACATGCGACACGGCGTCGAACACCATACGGCCCTCTGCAACATCCCCCAATCGCAAGGAAGAAGCAAGTCTAGCACTCAGAAGGGCAAAAGAAGAATTCGAGGGAGCATTCGCAGAACGAACGCAACCAGGCGACGGCGAGAGCGTCAGGAACACGAAGAACAGTTGCGGGCTCATGAGATGCGACGACAACACGCGTACGATGGGCAGCCATTCGAGGAACACCCCGAAAAACCGCGTGGGGGGAGTGACGACGAGCGTCGTCCCTGATTTATGGTAAGTTACGCAAGGTAAATCATTTTTATCATAAACGATCAATAGAAGTGAAATATTTCAGATGTTTACTTAGTTACATTCTCAGAGATTACGGTAATAATGCTTACTGCAGGAGATTGGAATGCTCTCAAGCTGTCGCGGGGGAAGAGATGGCGCGATAAGGCGTCAAGCCTGTAACCTACATAAGCAAGGAGCTGGAGGCAGCGAGGTCCGAGTGGCATCTATCGTCCGTCTGGAGCTATCCTCCATCTCGTCCGTTGTGATCACGACTTCTCGCGTTATTCTCTTCGGTGGCAGCTTCGCGTATTCATCCGCTACTAGTTCAGTTATTCGCTGCGGTATATATATCTTGGCATCGGCAGATTGTTAGAGGTTAGACCAATAAATATTATATTTATTCAAGTTGGAGGCGATTCTACGAGTAGCTAAAAATTCCGCGTGGCATCTATAGGTAAGAAGAACGAGTATATTCGCGTTGAAAATCGCCACAACTTATTGGGCGATTTTCAACGCGAAATATACTCTTCTGATCTTACTGAAGTTGAGCGGCCATTAACGATTGCCTACTCGGATGATCAAACCGATCGAAAAATTACGGCATAGTGTCGAAATTGTCACCGTAAAGGTCCAATAGCACTCTACTGATTAAAAGCTTTGAACCCTCCTAGCAAATTTGAAGGGTTAATAGAAGCAAAGCTTGTTTAGAGGAATTAATTAAAAGGAGTAAGCAGATTTGCTAGTAACCGACCTGAACTGTTGTGGTTTCCAACTTGTTCCACACGTTCAATTCGCTCGATTCTCTTCGACCCGTTACCACTTGGCCGATGCACCAATAAGTTGTGGCGATATTTCAAACTCGACAGAATCGCGTGCTCTTACCTATAAGAATGCTCACGATACTATATACCGCAGCGAATTACTGAGGTAGTAGCGGATAATACGTCGAGCTTGCCATCGCCCGAAGAGAATAACGCGAGAAGTCGTGATCACAACGGACGAGATGGAGGATAGCTCCAGACGGACGATAGATGCCACTCGGACCTCGCTGCCTCCAGCTCCTTGCTTATGTAGGTTACAGGCTTGACGCCTTATCGCGCCATCTCTTCCCCCGCGACAGCTTGAGAGCATTCCAATCTCCTGCAGTAAGCATTATTACCGTAATCTCTGAGAATGTAACTAAGTAAACATCTGAAATATTTCACTTCTATTGATCGTTATGATGAAAATGATTACCTGCGTAACTTACCACCTAAATCAGGGACACGCTCGCGTCCACTCCGGGCTGAATCGACGGCGACGAAAGATACGACATAGTTTGAACGAAGGATGGTGCAGAATGTGTCTGGAAATGTGCAACTGGGAAGCTGAGTGTCCGCGTGCGCAAAAATCTTGCTATTATTGTGAACGCGTTCGAGGAACACCGTTTGACTACATGCGACACGGCGTCGAACACCATACGGCCCTCTGCAACATCCCCAATCGCAAAGGAAGAAGCAAGTCTAGCACTCAGAAGGGCAAAAGAAGAATTCGAGGGAGCATTCGCCCGAAAACTAGGAACGCAAGACACAGGCGACGGCGAGAGCGTCAGGAACACGAAGAACAGTTGCGGGCTCATGAGATGCGTCGACAACACGCGTACGATGGGCAGCCATTCGAGGAACACCCCGAAAAACCGCGTGGGGGGAGTGACGACGAGCGTCGTCCCTGATTATGCTATACGAAGTTATTACGTTATCATAAACGATCAATAGAAGTGAAATATTTCAGATGTTTACTTAGTTACATTCTCAGAGATTACGGTAATAATGCTTACTGCAGGAGATTGGAATGCTCTCAAGCTGTCGCGGGGAAGAGATGGCGCGATAAGGCGTCAAGCCTGTAACATACATAAGCAAGGAGCTGGAGGCAGCGAGGTCCGAGTGGCAGCTATCGTCCGTCTGGAGCTATCCTCCATCTCGTCCGTTGTGATCACGACTTCTCGCGTTATTCTCTTCGGTGGCAGCTTCGCGTATTCATCCGCTACTAGTTCAGTTATTCGCTGCGGTATATTTATCTTGGCATCGGCAGATTGTTAGAGGTTAGACCAATAAATATTATATTTATTCAAGTTGGAGGCGATTCTACGAGTAGCTGAAAATTCCGCGTGGCATCTATAGGTAAGAAGAACGAGTATATTCGCGTTGAAAATCGCCACATGAATCAAAGCATCGTCGTTTCACAAAACAACAAGTTGACAATTATATCTGAATAACACAAAACTTCGTATTTCATTCAACAAAGCAGATCTGATTAGTAGGGCACAAGCACAGAATCTTAGGGTTAGTTCAATATTGAATCATGCAAACTTGAGCGTGTACAGATCCTGGGCATTGAAAACAAAAGTGAACCAGCCATCAGTTAAGAGATGAGTGAGATCAAAAATATTTGTAATTTTTAAAAATAGAACAGAAGCAAAAGACATTTTATGCAACATGACAACTTCTGCTTGAAAAAAAAAAAAAATCTAACCAGCTAATATCACAGGTCACTTCAATAAAGAAAGAGATCATACGGCAAAATCGAACTTTCTGGTGCAGTGGTCTCCAAGAGGACAATCAGTAAAAGTCCTTCGTACGCTGCCCCCAGATGCTTGTTACCGCAGGCGGAATCGTTGCTTGGCTATGTAGTTGAAAACATCACCATTTACCTGCAATACATATCGTGATGAATTTCTTTGAATCCAATAGAAATATACACATAAAAAATAAATACTACGCAGAGAAAACATCGACATTAAAACGTGAAGATAACAAATAACAACATTACTACGAACATTTGTTTCTGGAAGCCCATTTCTCAGAGCTATCAATCCGGTGTCTGTAATACATCCAAAGACATTCAAAACACATAAGTGTCCACAAAGCCTGAAAAATAAGCGTTGTTAAAGCATTTTAATGCGCACTCTCATTCCACAAACGCAACAAAATAACAAAATAAAAACAGCGACGACACAGCCCCTCGCCACTGGGAAGCAATTAGCATTATCTACCTTACGGGTTACAACTCTTAAGTTTTTAATTTTGCTAGCACTAAGGCTCCGTGTCACCAATCCGCAGAGAAAGGAAGGGATCTAAGAGAACCCAATTTTTCTCCGCGTTTTACGAGACAAAACAAACTTTGTTGGAGAGGATCGTGCGAAAGCAACTCCCCCCCCGGGACTTCACTTCAGTTTTCTAACCTATTATTGAAAGTCGACCAATGAAAGCACATCGAAATCAAGGTAAGCATGCTTCCATGAAAAGAAAGAAAAAAAGGATGAGAAACCGCCCAAAACGCCGGAAGAAATGCTACCCTTTGCTACCGCTCATTTTATGCATTGATGCGACCTCTGTGCTGTCCCTTTCCCCACGCTAAGCACCGAAAAACGGCTCGACTACAGCGAGACGGGTGGGCGGCAGGGTAGCGGGCGCGGACACCACAAGATCGCCGGAACAATATGCTCGCCTGCCAGTCGTCCGGTCGCACGCCTTAGGCTAGTGTCAGACTCCGCTATCCATCGCAGTTCCCGCTGATTTTCGGATTTGCGCACCCTCACAGCGACTGCGTCAACCGGAAGTCACAATGCCGATGACAATGTTCTACACAAACCGCCGCCATGCGTCTGATATTCTCCTGCTTCGTACTCTCCTTGCTCCAAAATTACAATGGGAGACGTAGAAGTATAGCGATCAGAGAGTAGCCAGCGTAAACAAGAAGAATGAGCTACAGTACCCCATTTCTCAAAACGAATAATGCTCCTATCAAAAAAAAATAGAACGCATTTGCAGCTGCTACGGAATTCTCAAGGTAGCGTGTGCTGAAGCGCAGCACAAACGACCTGGATCTCAGCGGTTGCGGCAATGTGATTCGTTAAAGAATTTCGCTACAAAGTAAAAAATACTTCAAATAGGAAGACGAAATCAAAGAAACTCACAAAAAGTTCATAGGAGGTATACCATAACATCTGTTCAATGAAAGCGACTCTAACTGGACTAGAGTGTTTATAGCTTGAAGACCTCTCTCTGTCACGCAGATGTTGTCAGATAAGTCCAGCTCCTTCAGATTTGGGCAGCTTGTGATAAGTTTTTGTACTGCTGAACAGAAAGGCCTGTGAGCGATTCAAAGAGCTAACGAGCTTCTACTGAAAAACGAACCAACGTCATCGAGAGCTAGTTTATTCAAGGTCCCTGCCATGTTCAATCTTGTCACAGTATACGGCAAATTTGAGCAGAATGCTAGGACTGTCTCGTGATCTAAGCTACTCCATGAAAGATTGAGATGTTGGAGTCTGAAATCAATGAAAAATGTAAGTTGAATGAAAGTTGTGCTGACAGATTTTCAAGAAGAATGATATTATTCTTGAAAATCTGTCGGCACAACGACAAGTCGATCCTCCTACGAACTTCTCTGAACATATTATAATATGAAAGCTTACACAACACAGCCTTGGCAAATTAACCGTGCAGAATCAGCATTTATTCCAACAGTCATCGAAAGGTCCAGACGGGTCAAGGTAGAATTCTGGCCAATTGCGTAGCAGATTGTTGGCGCGTCCGGCCCCATATTTTGCCCCTCCATTGATAACGCCTGCAAAAGCAAAATATACCACTTCAGGCTATTGTGCCCCTGAATTACTGCAGTGGGATTTCCCCATAAAGAGAACAACAAATAATTTTGGAACTTTTCAGAATTTCTGTTGAACGTACTGACCTTAAGCTGTGAACAACCGTTCATTATTTTCACTAAAAGACTTCGATCTGCAAATACAGCCCGACTTAAGTCGAGATGAGTAAGTAGCAAAGGATATTCAAGAGAAACAGGAGGCGCTGACGAAGGATGTGGCCACTCTTCAACCTGAACAACTTTAGTTGGGAAAATAGATTAGAAGATAGGAATCCTAGAGCGATAACCTAACCTTATAATTTATGCTGTTGAGCGTCATTAGTGCTTGACAAAGATAAAATATGTACAAACAAATCAAAGCGAAGAAAAAGCTTTAATAGATTTAATGGGGAAGAAACCCACGTTCGTGTCTGCCATCCGCATCACTTTTAGTCGTCTATTAAGAAAGCAGATGAGGGAGTGGTTGAAGACAGTGCGGTTGAATAAATCCATGTGTTCCCAGGTCCGACAACGTGATCTTGAACGATTCGAATCGATAACATGAAATGATGAATGATGGCAAAGTGGAATGAGGGCAAAACCACGAACAAGCATATATTTTGTCAATGTGGAAGAGAAAACCTCTACCACTAGTATATTCTTGTCAAAAACTCCTTGTTTTTCCCTAGAATACTAATGATTGTTTTCTTCTCCTTCCCATTGTTTCCGCACGCAAACCCCCGACTACGTTTGTAAAATTTCCAACCGTGAAAAGTATTCACGCCGATTAGCGTATCGAATTGCATAGGTACCAACCTCCATCAAATGATTTCAGGCAGAAAGTTGCGTTTAATGATCATACCAGAGGTTCCTGTTTACTTAAATGTAACGACACACACGCTCCCCGAATCCCTTCCCACCTCGAATTTGCCAGATGAGGCATTATCCAAAATTCCATGATCTCACGTGTCGATGAAGGACCCGAAAGGAACATATTGACAAAGCACGCGGAACAGATTTAGAGAGTTTTCGCATAGACCCTTTGGGATTTGCACACTCACAAATATATAAATTTAATATTCAACATACCCTGCCACGTACAAAAGTCTGCAAGTGGCCATCGCGTTGCAGAGGTCTCTCTTATTTAAAAACGATAGAATCTCTAACAAAACATTTTCAGGGAGCGGTGAGCCACGATTGCCGGTGTGGAAGTAGTCTAAAAAAAGTTGAGCAGGATAAGGAAATACAAAGTAACTTAATGATAGGGAGCCAAACCAATTGGAGGTCCACTGCTCACTCGGCGACAGAACTTGAAAGCTCCCGGTGTGCGATAAAATGTGAGAATATCGGGCTTCATGCGGATTCTTAATTGCGATCATTCGACACAAACAGATTTACTCAAAAAATAGATGACAAACTGAGAGAATTAAACAAACTTGCTTATCCCGTCGTCAATATCCATAGTGTCTTTATCATCACGAAGACGCTTTCTTTCATTTATGGATGTAAACGTGTTTTCACAAGCATAGTGCTCATCTACAAAGGAGATATTCAAGCTCATATGAGACTCCTGCTATCCCAAAAACGTGAGCTACTGCAACAAAAATTACCAAAAGTGACCTTGGGCTGACTAGACTCGGGCGTGAGGACTGATTCAGGAATGTACGCGATTTCTGACAGAGCTGATCTCCTGTGAAGGTACTGCGAAGAGCGTGATTTGACTTGAACAGCTAAAGTGTTTTTTTTTTCTTGAAATGTGAGCAATCACGAAAAAAATATTCGTTATTGGTTGACTCCATGTAACTAACCTTCTTTGGGAGCTGATGCTGACATGACTCGCCTAGCGGTGCTGTATGTCATGCAGGTACCTGAAAAATATAAATACTTCATTATTGAAGACAGGGTCAACCGCCCACCCAGCCGATCCATACGGAGGTAAAAAATCTGCCAGATAGGAAGATGGTCCTAATTGGGGTTGACGAAGGTGAAAGGTCAAAAGGTGGTTGTATTTTCGGAAATTGAAGGGGGTCGTGGTTGTGAAAGAAAGGTGTCGCTTGGATGGGTTTGCTTGGAAATTTCTTATAGAAACTTTGAAAAAAATAAGCACTAACTGGGGAAAATTAAAACATTTGTTGTGTTTTTGAGACTTATTTACCGTATACTCGCGGCCACCACCTCACGTGTTAGTTTAAGCTTACAGCTTTGTGCTAATCGAACACTAGAAAACAGTGCACATCACTAAGTAGAAAATGCCTCCCCTAACTGGAATAGACCCCAAAAAATTCTATGCTCGATATCGGAAAGTTGGGGTAGGCGTGTCACCGGAAGTGACGTGCACTTGATAGAAGCTATGTGGATAAGCTGCTTCCAACATACATCGCTGGATATCAGCAAAGCATGCTGGCAACAGCTTATCCACGCAACTTCTATCAAGTGCACGTCACTTCCGGTGACACGCCCACCCCAACTTTCGGATATCGACTGTAGATTCCAATTAAAACCTATGATAATCAGTCTAAGGCGCTAGATTACTTCACACCTCAGCAGTTTTTTTTTTCGTACGATGCTTGAACTGGGCTAGCAATAAGTTAGATGGCTAGCTACAAGTAAGGATTACCAGCTCTTGAGTAAAATTTCTTGCACGGAGGTACGCAGGTTAGTTTTGGGTCCTTTGCTGGTAAGCGGTTACAACGAAACGAGAGAAGGGACTGGTGCGTGAAGCTTTTCAAATAAGCCGAACGCCTTGGTTTACCCTAGTTAAAGATATTAATGTTACCTGGAGAGTGACCAATGACAGACCAATCACTAATATAAACAAAGTTCGTAAATTGAAGATAAGTAATCATCCCACAATCAACCCCACAATGCTGCAACCGCGCCCACTCAAGAACACTCCTAGGCAAGTCCCGATCCACTAACGAAATTTGACGAATAAAACGGGTGCAAACATGTCTTCACATGTCTAGCTTCAGCATGTCCTTACTTGCATCATACCTACTGAATTCATTTGAAATTCAATGACGATCTTGGGTCTATTCCAGTTAGGGGGGGGGCATCATGATGCAGTTTTTCCAGGAAGCTAAGGCAACTCCGAGCCAGGGGGAGTGTAGCCAGTCTAGGGGGGGTGTGAGGGCAGTAACTTGACATGCGTGAAAAGGCTGGAACGTTCAAGTTCACCCCTAGTCCACCGAAAAGCTGCATCATGATGCCCCCCCCCCTAACTGGAATAGACCCGACGACTGTGATAAGAAACACCTTTGCTAATGTATAAATCAATGGGACGAGTCAAATAAATGGCGGTAAATATTACCGCATAGATCATCCCAAATCAAGATTTCAAAGTGTCTATTTTCGCGCGTTTGTGGTGCCGTTGCAATGGAGCGCGATAGTTCACGGGCTGCACGACATTCTTTGTTCGGCATTTCCGCACTTTGTGGATCAACTTGCAGATTTTGCCTATTGTCTTGTAATTGCTTGGTAGGTACCAAGCTCAAGTATAGTTTAGGGGACGGCGCTGCACTCAAGACATCACAACCACACAAAATGTTTCCATTCTCTTAGGCTGCTTTCATAGTTCGCATCGGTGCGGTCGGTGCCGACGGCGCCGACGGCGCCGACCGCACCGACAGTGTGAAGAGCGTCAATACGCGCTCTGGCGCATGACGCGTACGTTGGGCGCAGATGGCGCGCTCCGATCGATAATCTTGGTTTTGGTGTATTTCTTGTCTTTTTCGATGTTTTTTTTGCGCAGTCTTCCTTTTATTCGTGTGTTTTCTGTTCATACTTATTCTTTTGTCTTGATTAATACTTTTCAGTTGTTCCGCGGACGAGCGACGTCGTACAACCCCGTGTGAACGTGGCTTCAAGACCCGGTCAGTCAGTCATCATGTACAATTTTGTTTATTCGAGTGAACTGTATGTTTTCAGTAGTCGCTTTTTCTTCGATACGATTTTCCTGCTGGTGTGCGAATAATTAAGTTACCAAGATCCGGCGGCCTTTCGCACACCAGCAGGAAATCGTACCGAAGAAAAAGCAACTTCTAATGACATAGATTTCACTCGAATAAACAAAATTGCTTATGATGAACTCACCCGGTATAGCCACCTTCACCTGGGGTTGTACGACGGGGTTCTACGAAGTCGCTCGTCCGCGGCAACTGAAAAGTATAATCAACACATAAAAGAATAAGTATGAACAGAAAACACACGAATAAAAGCAACAAACAAAGGAGCAAAAAAAGTTCAGAAAAAGACAAAAATAAGTGCGAAAACAAGATCGGTGCTAACTTAGTTGGGGGGGGGCCACGCGGCGGCGCGGCAGTCTGCTCACCTGGGCTCTCTCGAGCGAGACAGTGTAAACTCGAACATTCCAGCTTTTCACGCATGTCAAGTGACTGCCCCCACCCCCCAACCCCCTAGACTGGCTACACTCCCCCTGGCCCACGGATTTCCGAACATGCCAGGCGAGCAGACTGCCGCGCCGCCGCGTGCCCCCCCCAACTAAGTTAGCACCGATTATCGATCGAGCGCGCCATCTGCGCCCAACGTACGCGTCATGCGCCAGAGCGCGTATTGACGCTCTTGGCACTGTCGGTGCGGTCGGCGCCGTCGGCGCCGTCGGCACCGACCGCACCGATGCGAACTATGAAAGCAGCCTTACTTGCTGTCCCTTTCCTGAAAAAGCAGAATGGAGTGCTACTTAATTGGTTGGGGGAGGTTGGGACCATGCGGCGGTCCGGTGCAGAATGGTCCAGCCACCATTTGCAGGTACTTCCGCTGAAGGTCGAGTTAGTGTTTTGTGATGAACTCGCTACCGTACGTGGCTATAATATGTCCAGTGACGCAGAACAAAGCACAACACTTGTGCGGCTGTAGAAAACATAGAAACCTGCAAATCCAGTCCCATATTCATAATCTAACTCCTAAGCTTCGAGCAACAGTCACAGCAGGGTTCTGACCACTCGATCCTAATGAGTAGAAAGATGCACCAGGTGCATAGCCAAATAAGCATAAAGCCAGTGTACCCAGGGGCGGTATTCAATCCTTCCCCCAGGGGGATATATCCCCTCCTCTGATTCAATCCTCTGGGGGGACAAAAAAGGGTTGCGTCATAGGACCTAGCATACCTCTGTGTTTCTACCTGAGAGGCCGGACGCATAGTCGGTCGGACGACAGCAACGACTGCAAGTGTCGCAGATCGATACGCACCCAATGCTGTGCGACACTTGCAGTCGTTGCTGTCGTCCGACCGACTATGCGTCCGGCAGTTAGAGCAGCGCTACTACCCTCCACTGATGAAGCACTCTTTCCCCTGAGGGGTCGCGCTGCTCTAACTGTCTGGCAGGTAGAAACACAGAGGTATGCTAGGTCCTATGACGCAACCCTTTTTTGTCCCCCCAGAGGATTGAATCAGAGTAGGGGGATATATCCCCCTGGGGGAAGGATTGAATACCGCCCCAAATGGTATCCTGCAACCAGCGCAATCGTCGCGCTCCATTGAGGTTGCGACGCGTTGCGCGGCGCTACAGTTGGCGGTCCCCGCACGATTTTGTTTTCCAAAACCGCTTTTCATTTTGTGTTGCTCGTACCTAATTTTGTGATTTCTTTTATTATTTGTGGGTAACTGAAACAGTATTGAATTCTATTATCTCTTATAGTTAGCAAGGCGCATATTACCTCGTAAGGGAAGGAGCTGGTTTGGACTTGAGTGGTGTTTGCCTGCTTTTTCCGTTTAGTGCTGCTTGTCAAATTTAAAGCTCAAGACTTCTTTTGAAATTGGGTTTGAAGTCATGGATTGACTTCGAGAGCATGTGAAGCGTTGGGTTTGGATTGAAACCCGCTCTGGCATGTAGTGTGTGATGTGATCTATCTTCTAAATCCTACTGCAGTTTTCATTCAAGTGTTTAATTTGATGTTGTACTGTTCATTATCGATAGTACTTATTTCGGAGTGTCTTACACTCTGCTGTCGTGGAGACTTGTTTCACGAATTTATAAGTTATTTAGTGGCGCTAAATTCGGAAGATCAAAACATGGGTCGCATTCAGCAAGGATGGGGGGGGGGTTGACGTACTAGTTGAACCCGGTCCTTTAAGCCGCCTCAGATCCATCTCTCGTCTGCGCTCTCTCACCTTATCAGCGGCTCATGACCATTGTGATCACACACATTCAAACTTTTGCCACACTGTAGTTGGCTCACCCACCTCGAAGTCCCTCCCTCCTACAAGGCTTAGTCCTAGGGCTCTCACTTCCTTCCCTGGGATTTGGAGCCGAGCCAGGCGCCGTTCTCCAACCGTCTGTGCGTGTCTACCGCCATTCGTGGCAGGACCATGGAAGAAAGTTAAAGTAGTCCGCAAACCAGCAAGGGGGGCATGTGGTGTGACAGTTCCTATCGGCTACAGAAATTCCAATTTTCGCAAGGGGTGGGAAACCCTGGGGTGCGTGAACCATTTCGCCTTCATATCATTACGGTTTCTCTAGATAATTGCTGTCAATTTTGTATGGGTTTTTTGTACTTGTCGCAACTTACCTCGGTCGAGCCTTTTTGTCGCACCTCTTTCCGCATCATGGGATCCATTTCAGCTTTTGATATTCAACCGTCTTGTTCAGGTAAAAAATGACGAAATTAAAAATCCAGGAACTTCGTGGTAAGAAGAAGGAGGACCTCATCAAGCTGCTTTCGGAGCAGAGCTCTGAATTAGCTTCACTTAGGGTAAGTCTTAGCGAATGATGTATAGTTCTTTTATTTCGCGCAAGTAGATTACAGTTTTAAAGCGATCCTTAACACAGTGCGCTTGGTTTTGAATTTGAATTGCTTTACTTTCCCCTTCTATGGAATCAGACATGGAGGCCCTTTTTGAGCTAGCTTGTACAATCCACTCGGCCATGCTCGTTACGTTGTACTTTCCTTGTAGCTATATTGCTGCCTTGGTTCTACGTTTGGAGTGGAGGTCCAGGTCAGGGTCAACCGTCACGTTCGCACTTTTTCAAAAGTTTTGCGATCCCCTCTTTAGAGGGGTGTCGATACGACCCCCACCATCACCATCAGTCTTGGAAGGCTCACCCAATTTCCCTTCCCTTTTTTTCGACCAGCACCCACATACTAGCGGTTTCTGAGTGCGACACAGCTGTGAAACTATGATGTTTTTCTTCGTGCCGGCATAATTCGGATGTGCGCCTGCTTCAGAAGAGGCCTGTTAAATTGTGGTGGACTGTAACTGTAAGCTCGTTAGCCAAAAACCACATTCACGAACTGCTAAAACGCTTCTTCTGGCTGCTCCAGGATGGGCAAACAAGTATGTTCAAGCCAGGGAGTGGCTAACTCATCATGGCGCTCCTTCAGCTTCCAGCAATCCTCACCCTCTGGCTCACAGCTTCGTAGAATACAGCACCAAATGTCAACCAAAAATCTCGAAAAAATGCTATAGAATTGAAACTTATAGCAGTTCGTAAATGTGATTTTTGGCTAACAAGCTTACAGTAACAGCCCACCACAACTTGACAAACTTTTTCTGAAGCAGGCCACATCCGGGCAGAGTCAACCCTGCGTTGCGCAGTTCGCAACGGCACGTTGAGAGATCCTCAACGCACGCTGTATGGGCGGAGACGCAGACGGCTCGAGCATGCGAGTGTGAATGTTCGCGCGAGAGAACGTGTCTAATCGGGCGAAACTGCGCAACGTGGCCGTTGAGAACTGCGCAACGCAGGGTTGACTCTGCTCGCGACTGATGCTCGCACGAAGAGAAACATCATAGCTTCACCCAGCTACGCTGCATGTGAAGGACTTCACGTTCAGTGTTCAAATCGTTTCCTTTGCTCAGTTTTTTGAAGATGGCCTCTAACTGAAGGGTTTATTTTCACTGTTACATTAAGTTGTGGAGCAGATGGATCGCATTAGAACTAGAAAGGTTTAGAGCCGCACTCTTTACTCTTCTAAACTGTCAGCTCATCCTGCTCTGCCCAGTTTCCGTTCTCTCCTCCTGCTCGAAAACTGTCGATATCAGTTTTCACTTCCACTTACGCTGCATGCTTTAGAATGGGTTTGCAGGCAATGCTGAACTTCTATTTGTTTGGATCTATTTTTTGAAGCCACACGCGCTGATCAGTGACCTATTCCTCTAATCTACTTTATCCGCATTAACTGGTGGCGAATAATTTTAAGTGCAGGAATACTGAAATTCTTTGGTGTTAACGAATCGCCGTCCAAGCGATGCCCTTATTTCAAAATTATTGCCGAATTCTGGTGATACACATGCTTACCTTGCAGACAAAGGGGTAAAGGACTTCTCGTGCAAAACTAAGGTCAGAGCAGCTCATGCGCCAAACTTTTTACAGGCTGAGCCTTCTTACTCTAATTAAATCTTTCACACGTCGACATAGGTTAATTTTTACAAGCCCTTTCTGGATTAAGAAAATCTCCGATCAGGCGACAGTTGTACCATATTTTGTGCGCTGTTGCTCTATTTTTTTGACACATCAAGGTTAACGTTAAGTCATTGTTTAGGTAGCAAAGGTTACTGGTGGTGCCCCAGCGAAGTTGTGCAAGATCAAGATTGTGAAGAAGAACATTGCTCGCGTTCATACGATCATCCATCAAACACAGAAACAGGAGCTCCGTAAACTATATGCGGTAGGTACTCGTTACAGTATTTCCAAGTTGTAAATTCAATTTTTTTCGTAAATTAATCTATATTGGAGATCTCATATGACCACTGGTCGTAGTTCCTTTATTCAGAAATCGCAACACAAGCCCATTGACCTTCGCCCGAAGAAGACTCGTGCTATTCGCCGAAGACTGACTGCTCACGAGCAAAGCCTCCGAACAGCTAAGCAGCTGAAAAAACAGAGAGCCTTCCCTATGCGCAGATATGCGGTCAAGGCTTGAAGTTGTTGTTTCTAATTTGTCCTTAAATGAATTGTTGATTTTGAGGTCCATTTTGAATACAACTATGTAAAGATCTTCGTGAAGTGAATGTGAGGGATGAAGGGAGAATGTGAGGATGGTACGTGTCCACTTTTCACTTGTCCCGTGAAGTTGGATGCTCTGGCCGGGCAGGTTGCCTCTCTTAATGAATTGCTGCTCGTAAATGACATGTGTGGGTGTAGTGTGATGGAGTGGTTATATTTCTTCAGCTGGTTGCCTACACGTCATTTATTGTTTTTCAAAGAAATTCACAAAATGATTTTTGCAATTAGAGTTTCACATCTTCATTTTCATTGATCATTGACCGGCTTCTGGCGTAGTTTCTCTGAAAATATTGCCATTTCATTAGATCCTGTAGTAATTAGGAAGTAAAGAGGGAATAAGAAGGTTGTCAAGTACTTTGTTAGATATGTTTCAAATGTGCAAAAAGGAAGGCCGTCTATTATTTATAATGTGTAGCAGAAATGTTCGGTATTTTCTATTTTTAGTAGAAACTTTTTTCCTGAGTCAGATTCAAAATCTAAGGAAATGAGGCTGAACGTGCTCTTCGTAATTTCTTTGAAAAGGGTAACGCTTGTTGATTGTCCATTTTCTAAGATGTGCCACTCGACTCCATTTTCGGATTTGCACCATCGGGTGCGACTTAATTTTAATCTAATTTTTACGCTAGGTGCTGACGCTTCAGTCCTGTTGTAACCCATTGCGACCCAGGTACCAACCAAATCCCAGAGGAGAGAAGTATTGCTGGGGCTTATAGGAGTCTCCCTGGGTTGGGTCCCTCGAGCATACTTGGCGACAAGTCCACGCCACTTCTTCTATCTGCTAGTGCGCCCGTCTTTAATGATGTCGGTTAAAAGTGAGGGGTTCTGAGGTGGATTGAGATCTTACCTTGTTCAAATCCTGGAAGGTAATAGAGCTCCATTGGTTTTGATTGCGGCTATTCCTGTTGCTCTGTAGCTTTGCATAATTGTGACACGACTAGTATGAGATGAAGTGCGTTCCTGATAACGTGGCACTACATCTCACTGAAGAACGTTGGTTCTTTGCCATTTTGAAGAAGCAGTCACCCTTTTCTGCCCCTCCCCCTTTTTCAGTTAATTGCGTTCCCGACCAAAGTGGAAACGCATCTTGCAGCCGTTTTTTTTTTGAACATTTTCTATCTACAAAGGATCCGTTTGGTTGAAAAGCTAATGAACTCATAGTTGATGTGAGTATGAGCAGATTTGTGTTCTAAGAGAAATCCTTTCGAAAATCTCCACAGAACAGAGAAAACTTGCGATCTACTAAAAGTTATCGGGGCAGCTGACCCCGCGCGGCGTCGCTCGATTGAATCGCTGTTGGTGGAATCTTGATTGGCCACATGTGCTTCTTATGAATCGGAAACGTCCTGAATGCTGTATTTATTGCATCGCTACCTACCGATTCCTGCGGGTGTGAATCTGTTTTTTCTTCGCTCACCGATCCCTGAAAAGTCTTCACTTGACAGATGTTTCGTCAGTTCCATCAACCATTCCTTCTTACTACGCTGAAATTCAGAAGACTCCGAATTTTGTATCGATTGAATGTGCGTTCGTCTCGTTTGGCCATGTAGACGACGATTGAGAAGAGCGCCGCGAGTTCAGTGAGTAGAAATGAGCTCTTAAGATTAAGGCTACATTGTTTCGATGGCAGAAGGAATCTGAGGCTCACCTTGAGCAGAATGAATGAGAATCCGTATTCGAAATGAAACAGAGGATCATCCATTTCGCTGGCCGGATGGATCTTGTTCCCCACTTCCTTTGACACCGCAGACATGAAGACGATTATGCAAAGGAAGTTTACTATGCCTGAACATCTTATGTTAGCGACCACCTTTCACGTTGTTTTTATGATGTGGGGTCTTTATTGAAGTGCGTAATGCACTGTGTACCTGCATTGATGTGGATGACGGTGGAGACGAACAGAGAGCTGTATGGGTTTGGCAGCACATTGCAAATGATGGCCATAATCAGTCCGGCGACATCTAGTACCATGCCTATCATCATGATGACGAACGCACGCCTGATCGATTCTGAACTGGGATATTGAATAGGGTTTTCACTGCTTGATTGAACTCCAAGCTGTAGTAAGTTCAGGTGTGAAAAGTGAAATAGGTTAGTCGCACGAGAACATATCTTATTTTCAATCTTACTGGCGTCACCTCGGTAAGGAACCACGTTGAGGAGCCCCTTATTACGCATTTAGGCTTTTCCTGGATCGCATCATCGCTTTTGGATTTCTCCTGACGATGAAATAACCGACATAAAGGCTGGCTAACGTCCAAAGTTATTAGTAAGCGCGTCCACAATTCCTCGGTATGTACTCAGGAGCTTCTTCGCTTCTTTCTAGCTTCTTTGTTGAATGGAAAGGAAGGCGCTTAGCTCATTTTAAAGGACTGATGGACCGGGTCACATCTTCAGTATTTACAGCAAATTTTCGGAGATAATACTTAGTACTGTGATCAGTCGCGTTATTTAAGTGACACTAGAATACGAGGTATAAAACCTTCTAGTGTACGCTTGCTCCTCCTGACAGCGCATCTCCAATCTTCTCATATTTACTTCTCTGTCTTGTGTACCTCTCTATTACATGGTCCCCCTATCATTTATGAGGAGATCTTAGTTGTCCGATTCAGTAGCCGCCTTTCTGTTATAATTTTCGGCGCTCTGACCCACTTTCGAAAGATATTGCTCCTTACCCAATACCAGCTATCATTTTCACGAGAATTGTTCTTCCTATTCACTTATCGTTAGCTTTGAAGATTCCTTTACCACCTCATTCACGTGAGATCAGCTTTTCTTGGGGACTTTAAACGAAATGTAAGCCCACCAGTTAGCAACCGTTCTAGTTATTTCGAAAACAAAACTCACGTTGAACTCGAAGAACTGGACGCTAGTTGGCAGTGGGATAGTCCGTCATGGCTGAAAAGTTGTTAAGTATCATCGAGCACGAAAACTGATGTATTAACTTGAGACCTAAACAAGGCGAAGCCACAGGATATGAATATTGAGTGCGCCGTCGCAGCACACCAACCTTTGTACGGTTCTGTCTATGCTCTATCCTTGTGAAGTATTTCAGCGCGGGCAAACTACTACCTCACAAATTGCGTTCCCATGACGGAGGTCAAGCAAGCGAGTAAATCTGCTGAAACAGAAATCAAGAAATCAAGAAGATTCGTGATTTTTACAGAACTTCGCTTCGTTCCGGCGCTTTTGGGTCTGTACCTGTTCCGATCTTTTGACTCTGTGATAGTGCAAAAATCTGCATTCTCTCAAGCATGCTGCGCTCTCAGGAGGATCATTGGAAAAATACAGAAATTTTACCATCTCGCCCTTGCTCAGGTGGGGTAATGGGCTCGGCACTTTTCATGACGTGTAGTAATAACATCATAATTTCCCATTTCTTACAGTCGACGCTGCATAAAAGCTATTAAACACAATAACTATGAGTAAATTCTTGAGCTCCCTTCCAAAAATTCTAAAGTTAGCGAACCATCTCGTGAGCAAATTACGCAACGTGACATTCGGTTTTTTGATTCTTGCTGAATTTTCTTTACAACATGAATAAATTGTCGGGGAATATTTTACTTCAACATTTTCTTTATATTTTGGCATTTGGACACCTTTAACAATTAACAACAACTGTTGGAATGATGTTTTAAAGCAACAATCCAGGAACGAATTCGCGGGTAAGGACCACCTATAATGACGTTGCAGGTGAGAAGTTGGTCAATGGAGAAAGAAAAAGTAGAAAAAAACGTCGGGCAGGGGCTTAGACAGGGACTCCCACGCCTCACCTGAGGTAAGCAAACCAGCCCTTTTGGCGTTTCGGCTGGGACCGTATGCTGAATGTTGGGGAGGGGATGGGGTCCCCAACGGTCGACGGTTTACTTCAACTCGGTTGGTACGATAGGAGAGTACTGACGCAAGTGGTGCAGCTGGTCCAGCAGCTCCGCCAGAAGGGCTGGTTTGCTCACCCCAGGACTAGGAACTGAACAGAGGGACGGACCCGTCCTCTCTTTAAGGCTTAGTTCTGAGGTAAGCACCAAATTGTGGCGGTTCTAAGGACCGAGTTGAAGTGGTCCGTCCACCGTCGGGGACTCCATCCCCTCCCCAACATTCAGCATACGGTCCCAGCCGAAGCGCCAAAAGGGCTGGTTTGCTTACGTCCCCTACGCCTGCCAAGAAAATCGTGTAAGTATGCTATACGGTGCTCGTTGGCCGAGTTTGTAGCGAACGCATGCGCCCGCCAAGTCACAATGCGCTCCATTGCAACTGCTGGCAAATAGCCATGCATGCTTGCAAATACATAACTATTTGCCAGCAATCGAAATTGAAGCGCTTCAAGTTGCGTTCTTATGGAATCGACCTCATACAGCGCGGCGGTCCCGCAACGACCGCTAGTCGAGCAAGCGCTCTGCACAGCTGCTTGGAGGCGGCCCCACCACGGATCGGTGGATCCGCCCCTCTTGAAGGATTTCGACTGCTTCCAACGCCTTTCAGAGGTAAGTTTTGAAGTTTGTGACATTTCCCATGAACTCCAATCAGGCTGAGGCATGTTTCCACCACTTGAAAACCAAATGGTTGAAACCCTGCCTGGACTGTTGCTTTAAGGAAACTTAATTCCACCCACACCTTTACGGGCTTTTGGTAAGGCTTTAATTATTTCAAAAACATGTACAAGGAATTCTCCATAAACAACGAAGCCCTCTGGTCTGATTTTTTTAAATCAAAGTTAACTTTTTATTTCTGGAAACGAAGAGCAGTCACGAGTACTGCTTCTCTAAGAAATTTTTGTCCACACACGTCAGCGAAGCGCGGTTGGAGAACGACAACCATTTCTGCTACGCAAAAGTTCACTTAGAGTCCCAATTGCTAAAATAGGATAACTTGCTCAACTGCAATAAGGGCTACAGCTTTTGTATCGCTGGAAATAGGTGAATTGGTCAGATTATCTCAATCATACATAAGCCGAACTCACAGATCCAAGCGCAGCACCTACTGCCACGGTCCCAAGGAGGCGTTTTTGAAGTAGACACTTGGTCGTTGAGGCTGTGAATCGTCATATCCTTGAGTGTTGTTCGGGGACACGTAATATTTTAGTACTTCAGACGTGTACAGCCAGTTATTCGTGGAGCTACCTGAAATGTGGTTTTAAGGCCGATGTCAGACTTTGCGAATCGCGCGATTCGCTAGCGTCTGCGGTCGCGTCGCGGCCAGTGAATCACTCAATTGGCTGGTACCGCAACGCGACCGCGGACGCTAGCGAATCGCGCGAATCGCTAGTAGCGAATCGCAAAGTCTGACATCGGCCTAAGCGATGATCAATTTTCAAAGGCACAGATTCAATTTGAATCTCATGGACTGGTTTCGGTTTATCATCATGATTTTTTTGGTGAATCCAGAGAACTGTTGAGCTGTACCTCCTGGTGGCCACATATGACATTTGGTCTCCATTTGGTACTATAGTAGTTTGGTACTTTTGGCCACTAGGTCCGAACAGGGGTGAGGCTGTTTTTATAACGATGAGAGTCCCATCAATGCTCAAATCAACGGACAAGGAAGGGGTCCCATTTCTCCGGTTCTGGGCCGTTTTTCGTGGTTTCGCTTTCTTTCTGGTACTACTCACCATCTCTACCTCAATTTGGAATGGGTTGCTTTTCCATCGTAAATTCGTCCTTTAAGGAAATACTACATCTGCTTCGGAATGGTCCCAGGAAGTGGAGAAAGCGGGAGAGACGTTTGTGAACTCATAGATTAGCTGTCAAAGTGCCCGTTTTTGGTTGTCATGTGAAATAAAAATATTTTTTTCTGTAAAAGGAAGCTTGCAATCCATGTGCTGGTTTTCGGATGGTTAGAAAGCTCCGTATAATACTGCGGCTCTGCTGCATGGCAAGAAGGCTCACTATCCATCATGTGCCAAAAACAGCGGAGGTTGTGAAGGGGGTGGGGAAGGGGCGTTGTATTATACATATTTTGCCCTGCTGTTGGCACACAATAAAGCGCAGAAGCAGCGACGTGAAAATTAGACACCCCCTGGGAAATTCCTCCCAGAAGTTGACTGCTGCTGTGGGTCAAATGCAACCCCTCGCTGTGCATGGTGGAACAGACGGTGGGTCTGCTTCATCCAGAGCTTCGGAGAATTAACCAGGTCTTCAACTTTCCTTCAACCCAGCAACTTGGCCGCGAGCTTCTTTCTCAGAAAAGTTTCAATTCACATATTTTTATATAGAACTAATTCGTGGTCTGACTATCAGAGAGCGCCATAGAATGGGCAATCTTTTAGAGACCGCCGTTCTTCCTTTGTCCTCTTTGTGGAGCGCGCAATGTCGAGCGAGGCAGTCTTGCAATAAGAGCTATGACTGATTGTTTAGTCAGTGCAGTCTAAACAGGGGTACGGGTAAGATGGCTGCTTATCACGGAATATAGCTAAGACAAGGGGAAATAGAATCCAAAAAGGCAACTGCGCCTATCATCCACAGTAAAATGAGTTGTGCGTAAAGCAAAAGTTTTTGTTTATTCTTGGTTTGTTTTTGTTTTACTTTGTTTGTATTTCTCCGTACATCACCTCCTATCAAAACAAGCCAAGTAGAAACTGCAACAAGTGTCATCCGTCCGTTTGCACTATTCATGGGGTCGCATTTGTGATTTGCGAAGGGGGATTGCCATTTTTTGTGGTTAGGCAAGTTATGCTGAGGGTTTGGTGAAGGTTATGATAAGGGTTAAAGTAATACCGCTTCAGGCCTATCAGATTGCCCCTCCTTTCTCTCTCCCTTCACCCCATCCCCTCCCTGGGTGACAGCTGTTTTTGGAGGTTTTGAAGGAAAAACAGGGGCGATAAGGTTAGGGTGTGCCCTGGATACAGAATCGTACTACAATAACAACCATGATGGTGAGGGTGGAGGTCGGGGTAGGGAGGAGGTGTCGTTCGGGGGAGCCTCCTAACAATAAGACTGATGGCGGTGTGGAGGAGTGGGGAGGGGGAGAGGAGGAGGAGGTCACAAAATTTTTGGAAAAGTGCGAACGCGACAGTTGACCCTGCTGACTTCAACTCCTAATTACGGCTTCGCTATACTCACTTTTCCCAGTTGGACATTGCGAACGGTAATCATATCATATTAAATGTACAATTTCAGTGGTCTACCTCTAAACACAAACAGACAAACATAAACACGAACAAACATAAGTTTGAGGTTGCCCTAGAACTTACTGATGCCGTTGTTAATGCATGCGCCCAGTGAGCAGTAGAAGGCAAGACGGGTCAGCTTCTGACGATTGATTCGCCTTATCTTTATCAATTTGTGCTGGCTTACTGGTATGACCATCATTGTCGTTTTTGAAGGAGTTGACAAGACCCTCTGAAAGCACATATCTCAGTATTCAAGCGAGAGCGATGAAAAAATAGTAGCTCTACGAGTGTCTTCTCCTTCCTTATACGAATGTTGGGTAAAGAGGATTTCGAGAAAGAACTTATATCTTTTGGGCGATAAAATAAAACTATTACTCCCATGGCGATCTAACCATGCCTTTTCTATCGCAAGGGATCACTAGAGGGATTGGAAAAGCAGAGCAGAAGAAAGGTGCTCAATGGTATCAATATCTGTAATAGTAGGGTCGGACCTCGAATCTAGGGCTGTAATATCGCCCGGGTATATCAACAGAGCGATGTTCTTCTCTTCAGTCTTTTATGCGGGTGTTGTTCATGACTAGGTGACCTTGTTTAAGAGGGTCAACCCTTAGGTCAGCTGATTCCAAAGATTTTACGACTTCCCTCTCAGGATGTTCGACACGACTCCCACATCACCTTCAGCCAGGGGGAGGGCATACAACCCACCCCTGACTTACCACCACCCTGGCTGTTTCCATAGTGTTTGATTAAACTAGTCGACACCCTCCTCGCCCATCCCCTTCCCCTTTCTCTCCAACTCGCCTACATCCTTCATCCAAAACGGTATCGGGTGGTAAATATGTCTTTTGAAATTGTTCTAAGATCCGTCAACAATGATGTTCCTCTTTCCCAACCTCGACCCCTTTATTTCCACAAATATGACCCTGTTGTTAGTTTATGTAGTCTACTTAGTTAACCTTCGTCCATCCCAAAGGCTACCCTTTCCCGAAGTAGTAAGTACGACTACCCGATCCTTGGTGGAATTCTCACGAAATGCCTCGAAGAATGCAGAAACCACAACAACACCTCTTGACTGGGTTAGGGAATGCTGACGTTGAGAGATAAGGCTTTTGGTTCTCTTTCCCTTCAGAGGACGTCAATGGTCCTTTGTAATCCGTGAAATCTAGCAAATCCCCGGTTACCACGAACGTATTCATATTTTATGCGTATCCGAGTGAACGATGTGGAAATTGATTTAATTTCCAGTTGTGGGAAACAACATTATGGCTTTCCTGGAAAATTTGTTTAGTCAACATATCGTCTACCCCTGCGGTTTATGAACACAACAACGCTGTTTTTTTTATGAAAACGTTGCAGAGATAGGTGAACCTGATGTGAAAAGTAAGCAGGGCGGTTTACACTAAAACATTCGAATTGAAGGCAGACTTTTACGGGAGGACTGCTTTGGCTTTGATTTGTTCTGGCATGGCGACAACAGACCTCGAATTCTTCGAGGTCTGTTGTCCTCTTCAGTTCTTGTTTGTAGAGCCACGACTAAAAAGCGCTTCGCTCAGCTAACATTTCAGCTTTGCTGTCCTCATTGGAGCCTGGAAACCCATAGATGAACGGATTGAGGGCCTTCGCTCTCCAGTTGTAAGGCTGTGGCGATTTCGGCATAGGCTCATAAAAAACATCTTATCACGCTATCTTTACATATTCATCCCGAATCCCTACC